TCTCTCTCTCTCTCTCTCTCTCTCTCTCTCTCTCTCTCTCTCTCTCTCTTTCTCTGAGGTTCCCAATCTTAGCTGCACACAGGGCAGTTAAAAAAATTCCTGGTGCCCGGGCCATACCCCAAACCAATGGCATCCAGCTATTTGGGGTGAAGCCTGGGCATCAGCTCTTTCTAGAGCTTCCCAGGTGATTCTTGTGGGCCACGGCTGAGAAATCCTACAGCAGAAGTCTCGTTTTCAGGGGTGACTGGGAACCTCTGTCTCCTTTACAAAGAACCCCGAGCTTCAGAGCTGCAATGAGCCCTGAGACTGTGTGGGCCAGTTTCTATGATGTCTGCGGAGGCTTTTTGTTGAAACAATGTCAATGAAAACATTTATGTAGCATTCTCCATATGCCAGGTACTATTATGTGTGCTTAATATGGATTAATGTGTATCATCTCCACTACAAGCCTCTGAAGTAGGTGCTATTAGGACATCTATTTTGCAGAGGAGCAAACTAAGGCACACTACAGTAATTAGCCCAAGTTCATGGAGCTATTCAATAGTGGAGCCACGATGAGAGGACTATCTGGAGCAGGCTGACTCCAGAGTTTCCTCTCATTAAAGCTCAAGGGAGGGCTGCAGATTTAGCTCAGTGGTGCTGCACCTGCCTTGCAAGTACAAGGTCTTCAGTTTGATCCATGGTACCGGGAAAAAAAAAAAAAAAAAAGATAACGGTCAAGGGAGATAAGGGAGCTCAGACCCTAACTGTCTAGTTCCCCCTCTGGCCAAGCACTGGTGGGCCCTCTTTGAACTGAGTCCAGCCCCAACTCTCTGCCTTTGCAGACGCAGAAGCCAAGGTCTTGACAAAAAAGCAGGATGGCCCAAGGCTATCAGGGAGCACCGGGCAGAGCTGGGCTGGGAGTCTGGGCTCAGACTGGCCTCAGAAAGGACAAGGAGGTAGCTTACTTCTCATTGTCGTAGTACAACTTCCCGATGGCCCAGGCCACAATGATGGGGAAAGGCACACCTAAGAGAGAGGGAGGAGCTGTCACAGAGCCTGTAGGCAGGTGCTGAAGGCCCCCAGTGCAGTCCAGGCCTTCCTAGAGGGGTTTCTAGGGGTTGAGGTCGAGCTTGAGCTCACACACCTTTGGGATCCTCCTACCCCATTCCCAAGGAAGGGAGGTGCTCCACCATCCCAGTGGCCCTTGGTCTCCCAGTCCCCAGCCAGCTGGCCTGCCCTGGATGGGACGGCAGGCAGGAAGCTGACCGGCTTACCCCAGCCGATGCAGATGAACATCCACTTGCGCAGCCGGTCGGTGGAGTAGGTGAGCACTATGGCTGTGTGCAGGTAGCAGCCCTCCCCGAACATCCAGAAGAAGTTGGTCACATGGAAGTAGTTATAGGCAGCTGTCACCAACCTGCACCAGCCCTGCCCCGTACACCAAGAGATGATGAGGAACAGGGTGTGGGGAACAGTGTAGCACCCCACCCTGGGCAGGGAGCCTCTTTGGGACCCTTTTCCTGTTCTGTGACCCCTCTTCAGGGCAGCTGTACCTGCGCCCTCCTCTGCCCCTGGGCTCAGTCCCCTCCTTTTCCCCCTGGCAGAACGAACCACATTGCTCTGGTGGACCTCGGGGCTCATGGTGCGCTGGACCACGAACCACGTGGCATTGCGCAGGATGAAGGCTGAGATGAGGTTCCAGTGGATGATGTTTCTCAGGCACCGGATGCTCCTGGGGCAACAGGGGCAGGCATGAGGCCAGAGCAACAAGAGGATAAAGGACAGGCTGCTCTAATATATGGATGGGGAAACTGAGGCTTTGAGGAATGAGGCTGCCTGAATAGGCTACACAGGTAGCAGTAAGGCTCTCCTGATGCCTCATGGGGTCCTCCTTGCCTGGGGGCAGAGCCTGGCATGGTCCCCGGGTCAGGTCTGCTAGGTTACTGGGGCTGATGCCCCCCACCCCTGGGTGTTCCAGGATTGAGAGTCAGAGGGTTGACAAATCTAAGAGGCTTCGAGTGGGAGGTCCCTCTGGCTTTCAGCCCTCACACTCTGCTCCTGCTCCCACCTGTCCCCATTCTGTGGCCCTACCACCTGGGCCCTTGCACATTCAAAACAGAGGTGAGATGCCACCTGTGCTAATTGACCACAGACCTACCTGGGCATAGGTGACCCAAATGGGTATAGACCAGCTTATATTTAGATGACACGGGTGACCCAGGGGCAGAAGTGGCTCTGCCAGAGGTTCCAAAAGAACCTAGATTCCCACCTCTGCTATCCCTCGCACTGAGGTGAGGGCAGGATACCCCTTCCCAGCAGCCCCACCCTGGAGACGTCCCTGAATCTTACTTCTCCACTCTGCTTGAGAGCACAGGGGCAGCAGAAGGCAGTTCAAGGGCCTTCTCACCTGAGCCGCAGAAAGAGGATGAAGGCCACCAAGAGGGCCATCAGGGAGATGCAGTGGCCCAAGTAGTTGATGATGACAGCGATGTGGTAGTGCACTTTACTCTTCTTCTGTGGCAGGAGAGGGGGCAGAGGTGAGGTCCCTGCACAGTCATGCCCCTGCCCCTGCTGGCCATGCGCATGCAGACAGTGCCCAGGGCAGCAGACAGACTCAGCAATAATGACAGGTCGCCTGCCCCCAGCCCCCTGTGAGCCTTGGAGCAGCACTGTCAATCCCAGGTTCAGTTCACTGCCTCACGTTGTTGGGCACATGGGGGGTGAACGCCCTGTACCACATCCCTCAGGGCCTCCTCGGCACCCTGGCCAGGTGCATGGATGTGTATGCCCACCCACAGATGGGCTCACATGCTCCCATTCTGTCCCAACACCAGGTGGTCTCAGTGAGACCCTCACAGACCTCTTTCCTCTACCCATTCTGAGTTGCATCCCCATCCTCCTGGTTACCCCTAAGTCCCTCCTGTGGCAGCTGAAGTTGGCTCCTATTCACCAGAAGAGGGAGGTGCAGCACTGTTTGTCAGAATTCTTAGCAACCACATAAAAATTCCCTGTAGACTCTGTTACTCACTTCCCAGGGCCTTTCCCTCCCCCAGCCCAGGGGTCTGCTTGAAGTGATTGAACTTCTTCAATTTCCTAATGTTATGTCTTAATTAAATATATTAATGGAAGCTACGGCCCCCCTCTTTCCAATAATTGTAAGCTCCAACAGTGAGGAAGCCTTCCCACTTATAGAGGGTTTTCACGCATGTTATCTTCTCAAACCTGTACCGTGAGCCCATGGGAAGAGCCAGAAGGGCATCTGTAACTTAATTTTGCTGAAAAAGAGGCCCTGCTGGGCATGGTGGTGGACACCTGTAATCCCAGCACTCAAGAGGCTGAGCCAGAGGATCGCCACAAGCTCAAGGCCAGCCTTGGCTACGTACTGAGTTCAAGATCAGCTGAACTACATAGCAAGATCCTGCCCCACCTACCCACCCCCCAGAAAGAAAAAGAGACCCAGAAGTACACTGATTGGCTCAAAATTGTCCAACTTCAACTTCAGAACCACCTCTGACCTGCACATGCAGATCAGCAAAATGCTAAGGTTACAAACAGTCCCCCATCCCACAGGGGGGATCAGCCAGTCCCCAGTAAACGGCTCTCTAAAGATTCCTGTCCCCCATCCCAGAGCAAGTCCCCATTCACCTTTTTCTACCTCCCAGGAAGGCATGGTCTGGGAAACCCACAAACCAGAACATAGTTAGGATCCATAATTATATGTTGAAGGAAGGAAGGAAGGAAATAGTGAAACTGGAAAGTGGCTGGCTTGGAGCAGGGTGTCCCTATTAGAATCCCCTCCCTCACTCTCTGCAGGTTCTGGGGTGGGACTGGTGGATGATAATGCACAGAACCTGGCAGCTCACAGGTGTGGAGAAGGGGTGGGCTCACAGAGCCTCTTCCATCCCCCCAGAGCACCTGCAGAACTCCGGGCCTTCCACAGACCTTTCTTGTAGAAAGTCAGAATCCCCCCGGGTCAGAACTGTCCTCAGGGACTAAGTCCAGCTCCACTTATCTCCTGGATGAGGAAACTGAGGCTCCAAAACACCCCAGAACAAGGGATGCACCTCAGTAGGGGAATAGCTGGCAGGCATCCCAGCAGGGCCAAACCCTACCTCTGTGAGCCCCTTCCCCACCGTGCCCCTTCCAAAGGGGTGAGGATGCCACAGTGACAGGCAGCTCTGGATACTCTCTTCTCGGAACTGGTTTTGGGCTTTTAGGAACATGGCAGGAAATCACATTAACAACTCAGGCCTCAGAAGGGCTGGATCTAGGGAGGAGACACAGGCAGGAGGGACAGGAGAGGGAATGGAGCAATGCCACTAGGAGGGTCTCTAAGCCCCCATGGCAGATGCTGCAGTCTGAGGCTCCAGAAGATATGCACACATCAAAGCCTCTTTGGAGCTAGTACTTAATGTCCTCTTATTAAATTTCCCATAAATCAATGCTGAGAAGCCCTTGGGTACTAACAACTTCTGCAGAGCCACGAATGGCATGGACTCCAGCTTCATTTACAGGCCAAGGTGGGACCAGGGAGCCCCTTCTGTCTGGGGCCAGGTATGTCTGGGTCATTTGGTTTAGGAGGGGTCATTAATTAAGCACCTACCATATCTGGGCCCTGTGCTTTGATACTGGTCCTCGTGTCCCTGTTTTCCTACTAAATAGGCTGCATAATTGGCCCAAGCCAGCAAGCCAGCTCTTCGAGCCTGGGCTGGCTGGCTTTAAAGTCCCTCTTCTCCCACACCCACAATGTACTTGGAGAACAGAGAGGGACTAACAACAGAAGTGTTCTCCCGGGAGTGCTCCTCTGTGCTGGCCCGAGGTCCTTGGAGGGCTTCTGCAGGAGGGCTGAGGGATTTTTCTCCACAGAGTCTGGAAGGGGAGAATGAGGCCAAATGGTGCCTGAAGGACAGAAGCAAGGTGTGACTTCTGGAGCCGTGGGGCCTGGGTGGGTTCAAGCTCTGTCTCTCACTTGCTGCACTGCTCTGATGCAATCAGAAAAAGAAAGTCGGAGAAGACAGCTAGGGAGACAGCAGCGCCGCCTAAGAGGGCACCAGGAACACCCTGAGAGACGTCCACTGCTATGATATGAATGGACCCCCAATGTGGAAATGCTGTGAGGTGAGGTTTTGCTCAGAAAATAAGGGCCTTGCCCTCAGGAATGGGTTAATGATGTTATTTTGGGAGCAGGCTTATTATTTCAGGAATGGGCTCCTTATAAAAGCGAGGGGTCCCCATTGGCTTTCTCTTGCCCTTTCTTTACCCTTCCATCATCAAATGATGCAGCAAAAAGGTCCTCACATCTTGGACTTCCCAGCTTTCAGAATCAGGAGTCAATAAACTGTTCATTATAAATTCCCCAGTCTCGGCTATTCTATTATAGCAGCATAAAGCACACCAGCAGGTCACCAACATCCTGAGAAAGTAATGTCTCCAGTGATGCCCAAACAGCACAGCAAGTGACACTGAGAATCATCCACAAGCAAGTAGAGATCTGGCCAGCACTGTCTAGAGACACAGAAATACCTTGGTGAACACACAACACCCTGGGAGGTGGCCAATAACACCCAGAGAGGACAGCAGCAACATTCCCAGGGACAGCCAGTAACCCTCCTCAAGAGGTCCAGTGGCACCCAGAGACAGTCTGTGACTGCCTGAGAGGCAGCCAACAAGAACTGCAGAAGCAGCTGGATGCCTGAAAGACAAATGGGCAAAGCCAACCCCAGGGGAGCTTGACCAGCTCTCTGTCCCTGTCCAGTTTGTAGACCTGAGACCAGAAGATTCCTCAAGGAAGGCAGCACAGTGGAGCACTGACCAGAGGCCACTGTGCTGTGCCCTCCATGACCAGAGTCTAATGGGTAATTGCCGACCATCTGATTCTGACCAGACTCTGCAAAAGAACACTCTGTCTCAAGTGGCAGTGGTGTAAGGCCTGTCCCAACACCCTGCCAGGATGGCAGCAGTGAGACTGCCGCTGCCCCTTCCACGTGACACAGCCTCTTCCCCTCTCATCCGTGCTCACCTGCATTGTCACTTTCCCTCTCCTGCTGGGCTTCCTGAGCTGCTCCCCTTTTCCCCGTCAGCAGATATCCCAGCCTCTTGCTCCTTGGAGCAACACCTGCATCCAGGAACTTGCAGAAGCCTTAGCCCCACTCCAGAGTCACAGAATTGGAATCTCCACTTTGGCAAGAAGCTCAGAAAGCTCTTAAATACCACAACATTTCAGAAGCCCTGGTCCTACCAACACACCATCCCTGGCCCTGACAACCTGGTCGGCAAAACCAGACCCCCAGAAACCCTTTTGTCTCCCCACGATAAGCCCTCCAAGGTTGTGCTCCAGACTCAGAGTCCTGCTCAACAGAGTGTGGAGGAACGGACAAAGTGTGTGCATGTATGGGGAGTAGGGGAGTCAGGAACAGTGGAGAGGGTCACTCAGTGGTGGGGACAGTGTGTGTGAGGGTGCTGCTATGGGAACTGGGGCCTAGTACAGGGCAGTGCTGGTGGCTCTGTGCCATCCCTAGGCCAAGCCAGACATGAATCAGGTTTCCCAACTTGGGACCTGTCCCCTGATGGTCCTGGCTATGGTAGGTTTCCTTAGGCACCTGGCCTGTGGGCACCTTCACTGGTCCCATTTCACAGGCAGACTTCTGAATCCATTATCTGCAATGCCCTGGGGCACTGGTGATTAATTAGGGCTTGGAATTTGGGATAGGCCCAGTGAGGGTAGGGGCTGGCAGAAGGGTTGGCATTTTCACTAATTAAGTCGATTGATTTACAGACTGGCTAGGCAAGCAAGCTAGCAATGGCTGCCTGGGAAGGGACAGCAAAGTAGCAGAGGTGGACCAGGCAGGGTGGGGGTCGCTGTGCTGTGGAGGGGTGTGTGGGTGGCAGCCCCACCAAGGTGCACCCAGAGGAAGCGGTGCTCATGTTACCTGAGTCTTCCCCATCAATGACCCTCTACCCCAGTGTACACTACCACCTCCTCTGACCTTCAGCGGAGATGAGCAACAAGGAGGGCAGGCAGATGGAGCATCCTCCATAGGGTGAGGCACCTGCCAACACAGTCTCCCACATACTGGGGGCAAAGAGCTGAATTACTCAGCCCTTGTGGGGGACTGAGTTAAAGCTACCTGCTCAAGGTCACACAGCTTAGAAACATTGGCAGCAGACGTAAAAGCCAAACTGTCGTTCACAAAGCCCATGCTGTCCCACTACCAGCCAAAAAGGGGAGCTCATAAGAAGCAATTCCCACTCCTTATTCTCCTACTCCAGATGTCAGAGAGAGGAGGATCCTGACTGGGTGGAAGCTGCTGGACAGGGAGAAGGAAGGGCTGGGGGAAGCTCATGTATTGCCCTTGAGTCTTTGAAGGGTGCTGGGGGGAAATGGGATGGGTGTTGAATGTCCCCCCTCAGCCTATGCGAAGGAAGGGGCTTAAATTGGAGCAAGAAGGATGGGGAACCTGAAGACCTAGGCCTGACAATTGGGAGGCTTGGATACAGAGGGAAGGCTGGGAGAAGTGGTGGCAATGGCAGTTTTGCTAATGTCCAAGAAAGGCACAGATGCCTGCCCCCCTGGGAAAGGGGTCTGTCAGACCAATGGCAGGGCAGCTGGAGATGCACTATCTGCCTCAGGCTCTCAGATCCAGCAGGGCTACCAGAGAGTCAGGTGGATGCATTGGGGGTCTGAAGACTTCCTGCCACACAATTCATTCCTATCTGCACCTGTATTCCTGTCTGTTCCTCCCCACACCACCTTCCGCGGGCAGGTGGTATCCTCTTAGGAGTCACCACAACACTGACCTGATTTTCTGAGCACAAGCCCCTTTTCTTCCCTCTTACTTCCTGTATTTTGTGTCAAGGAAGGAGCCTCCTGCCTCCCAGTGTTCGTGCCCACCCCCAACATGAGCCCATATCCTCTGGCCCATCCATTTCCAATCTGGACCCCACTTCCCTGTCCCAGTCCCAGAGACACCCCTCCACCAACCACAGGACCACCCAGGCTGACTCACAATGGGGGTGTGACAATCAGGGGTCTGGGCCAACCCTGCCAGGCCTTGGAGGATCACATGGGCTGGCCTGTGGGATCTGAGATACTTTGCCCTCCATGCTAAGCAAATTCACTGCCCTGCCAGGGCAGCACTATGAGAGAGCTTGACATTCTTTTTGTTTTGCTTTGGCTTTTCTGATTTTTGTTGTTGTTGTTGTTGTTGTTGTTGATATTCTTTTAAGCTAAGTATTGACCCAATCTTCGAAGCTTCTGGAAGGAGTCAGTCGAGCCCCCACAGCTCAGTGACCTGAGGCCAAAGTTCACAGGGCCTGGGTGGGGGCAGTTGCTCTCCCTGCATTTACCTGGTTTCATTCAAGTACCTGGCTCTCCAGAACAAGGCAAGGATGTCCACTCTCACCACTTGTATTCTATACAAGTTATTGAAATTTTAGCTACAGCAATTAGGCAAAAGAAGGAAAAGGGATACAAATGGGAAAGGAAGAAGTAAAATTATCCTTGTATGCAGATGATATGATCCTATACTTAGAAACCCCTAAAGACTCAACTAGAAGACTGTTAGAACTGATAAAAGAATTCGGCCTTGTAGCAGGATGTAAAATGAACATATACACCAAACACCTCTGTGGGCTAAAGAAGCCCTGAACTCCAAAGCCTCAGGCTCCAGGCTCTGGCTCACTTGGGCCACATGATCTTATATGAGTCACTCATCATTTCCAGGCCTCAGTTTCCCCATCTGTAGGGGGAATGATTTGCACCAGATCAGAGAGTCTCACTTTTGTCCCATCAGCAGGATCCCTGGAGCACTTGTGAAAAATGCCAATTCCTAAGTCCTCCTTGGACAGTTGGATCTATTGGGTGTCAGATGTAGTTCTGGGGCCTATGTATGAACAAAGCTCTGGGTGATTCTTACCACTGGGCAGGTCGGGGAGCCCTGGAATGGGATAAAGGGTCTCCAAGGCCCTTTCTAACTCATGTCTGTTAGGGGATGAAATTCTCAGGAACATTCAGACCAGTCCCTCAGTCTTCCTCCAAAAGCCCTAGGCTCCGGCACCCTGGGGTGTCTTCCCTTAGGCCCTTTGTTTTTCGCTCATTCATTCTTCCAACCCTGCACCTCACCCCCAGCACTCATGGAAAAGTGGTGTGTAGGGACAGGAAAGGGAGACCGAGGGTAATGGCAGTACTGGGCGAATAGATGTATTTGTGTATCTGCCAAATGTCACCCTTAAAAGATTACTCATGGGGCCGGGGATTTAGCTCAGTGGTTTCGTCACCTGCTGCGCAAGCGCAAGGACCGGAGTTCATTCCCCGGTACCAAAATAAAAAAAAGATTACTCATGGCAGTGCTGTCTGTAAAAGCCAAAACTGGTTAAATAAGTTATGGTACCTCTGGATAGTGGGTATTATGCAAATATAAAAAGGATGAAGATGATCTTCATGTACTGAAATGGAACAATCTCCCAGACGGATGGCCGTGTGAAAAAGGTGTCAAGCAGTCTGTATAGTAAGCGATGTTTGGGTAAAAACAAAAAGTATAGATAATGACTTGTGCATGCAGAGGAACTAGCAAGAGAGCTACCTCTGGGGAGGGACTCCAGTGGCTGGGGACAGGGATGGGGTGGGGGAGACCCTTCACTATAGTCCCATTTGTGCCTTTTGAATTTTGTATTATGTCTAAGCAATATCTACTCAAAAACTTTTAAATTTTTCAAAAGCTCTCCAAGGCTTTCTCAAACTGCACTACTACCCCCACTTCCATCTGGCTTCTGACACAGCCCCAGGCTGTCCTTGGTATCTCAGATGTGTGAGGTGGAAACAGGCAAGGATCCTGCAATTGTGTCTGGCCTGACTGGCCCAGCACTGTCCTACTACTGAGAAGCATAGATGGAAGGAATCGAGGAACTGGGGCTGAACTAGCCCTGCTACAGCCCACCCACAGCTCCCAGTGGCTTCCCCAGAGCAGGGCCTCCACACCAGCCTCGCTTCTCTGTCCTTGTCTGGCCACTCTGCAGACATCTAGCTGGTTCTGGGCCCTGGCCCACCCCTCGTGTGATGACCTGCTGGACTTAGCTCACCTCCTCATTGAGGATCTCCTGGCACTCAGAGTAATTCACACGGGCGGCCCAGCTGCCATTGGCCAGGCACTCCCGGTAGCCGTTGTCTGGAAAAGAAAGCGCCATGTGAGAGAGTAGCAGCCCATCATGTCCATCCGTCCGTCCGTCCATCCATCCATCTATCCACCCACCCATCCACCCATCTGGGCCAGCACAGGCCTGCCGGCTAGGGCCCTAGAAGAAAGCAGGGAGAAGGGCTCCTCACCACCCCCATTTCCTGCCTCTTTCAGCCACTGGCCCTTGCACAGGGCTATAGCAGCTGCCTTAGCACTTGCTGGGGGTGGGGCATAGCTCTGCCCACCCATGCTGGCATGATCATGCTGTTGGACTGGGTATGGTCAGGCTGGCCCAGCTGCCTGGGCTGCCTCCCTGCATGCCTTCTGTGGTGGCAGATTTCATGGTGGGTGCTTTCTGAGATGCTCCTGTTTTGAGTCCTGCATCACAGCTAAGAGGAATGAGATCTCATGAGCCAATGCTCACACAGCTGGTGTGAGGACCTGGACCTGGTGGAAGGGTATGTGGTGACAGGTTGCATGGCTGATTGAAATGACAGGGTTTCTTTTTTTTTTTTCTGGTACCAGGGATTAAACTCAGATGACAGGGTTTCTTGCAGGACTACCCATGGTGGAGGTGCCCAAGGGTGGTCATCATGTGGCAGTGTTTCCTGTGGGGTGGGGGCTCACAGGCTGGGTCCTGGGAAGGTCCCATAGTGGCACTTCCCCATGGCAAGCCTTTTGTTGGAGAGTCTTATGGTGGGAACATCCATGGGGGAGCTCTCTTGGACGGAAAATGACAGGAATGTACTAGGGGACATCACTTGGCTAGTGTCTCACTTTAGGACCTGCTACAACTGCTCCTGGCCTGGCCCCAGGCACTTGGGGAAGAAGGCAGGACAGTGGCCTAAGGATGGGGGTCTGTGTGGCTGTCAGCCTGGACTGCAGCTGAAACCTATCATTTTTTTTTTTTTATACTGGGGATCAAATTCAGGACCTCATGCTTGCCAGGCAGGTGCTGTGCCGCTAAGCTAAATCCCCAGCCAGAAACCTATCACTTTTAAAGAGATGGGGAGAGGCCCTGTGGGCTGCATTGTCTGGATCTGGGGCTCTGGGATTGGCAGAGCTGCCTCAATGGTCTCTCTCACCCTGCCTTCCTGCCGTCTCCCCTTGGGCACTAGGGTCCTGCAATCTGGTAGGGAAGAGACTGGCAGCGTGGGAGCCCCCTCTCTGCTGGTAGCATCAGGACTAGATGCTAGGTGAGGAGTCAGGGGAGTTGATGCTACCTCCAGAGCTGAAAGGCTACAGCCTCCACTCTAACCAAAGAAGCTGCTCTGGCTGCAACAAGCTGCTGAGGGGTGAGGTAGCCGGGCTCCTGGATTTAAAGCTCTGCAAGGTCTCCTAGGGTGTGGCCCTGAGTCCTGGACAAAGCTGAGCTCTGGGCCGATTTGGCTATGAGGCTGCAGAGGGCTGGCTCTCCTAATGACTAAATGAGGACTAAGTTTGCCCTACCCAAATAAAAGTGCCTTGGGCCGCTAGGAATATCTGCAAAGAAAGGGGATTGGAGCAGACACCTGGTGGGAAAGGTCAAAGGTATAGCAGAGTTTGTGTGCACTTCCTGCTTTAGGAGAGGCAGCACAGAGCAGCATTAAGAGCAGGATCCCTAACCCATACAGCCTGGGTTCAAATCCTACTCTAGCTGTGTGACCTTCGGCAAGTCTCTTAATCTCTTAACTTCCTTATCTGCAAGTCAGAAGATTTTAATAAAGACACCTACTTTACTGATTCAGTATTTTTAGTTAACATGTGCACAGTGCTTGGAACTGTACCTGGCATATGGTGTTAGACATTATGTTTACTCTTATTGTCTTTGAGCTGTATTTATATAACCATACATAACATGCAGAACACGTCACTTGTCCCTACCAAAAGGGGTACAGGTGGAGATTATGGAAGAGCCTCCTCCACTCAACAACCCGCTTTGGTATCCTGCAGAGAGGGTGGGGCACCTTGAGCCCCTCCCCAAGCCCAGCCATCCCAGGCAGAAGGCTTTGCCTGGAGGGAAGAGATCCTGAGGGAAAACAGGTCCAACACTGGGAGTCGTTGCCAGGGAGGATTCGACCTCCTCGTCTCTAATTGCTGAGCTGAGCAATCCTCCCAAAGAACCACGGGAAAATGGATATTTTTGGAAATGTTTCCCTTCCTTTTGAAGATCTGATGTGCAGGAGGGAGGACATTAAGGAGAAGCCTAGAAGTCCTGGCAACACCTCATCAGTAAATGAATTAATTAGTGCCTAATGATTAGGTATGGCTGTGGTTCCTACCTCCCCCCATGGCACCGGCAGGGCATCCCTAGTCACATGGCACAGGGGCACTTGCAACGGGGTCCTCTAGCCTACCTGAAATGCTGATCCCAGGTCAAGGGACCAGCACTCCAGCTTCTTTCCTGAGATCTTAGAAGGAAGAGTAAGAGAACCTAGAAGGCACCCACCTATCCTGCAAGGGCAGAAACTGAAGCCCAGGATGGATATTGCTGAGCTAGAACCCAGGACTCCTGGCTTCCCCTGAATGCCAGCTAGGCAAGTTTAGTAGCACATGTCCAGGCACTAAGACCTGATGATGATTATCTGAGGTGTGGAACAGTGACTCTTGGCTCTCCAGGTTCTGGCTCTGCCTCCAAGCTCTGCGACCTTGAGCAGGTTATTAACTTCTCCGTGCTTCAATTTCCTTTGTAAAATGAGCCCCCATGAAATCAGAGGCTGCCTGACTGTGCACTCCAAACTCTCCCATATTCCTGTCAGCCTTTTTCCTCCTTCTTCCTGGTCCCTCCCACCACTGGGACTGACTTGAAGCTGCTTGAGCCAGACTTCCAGGGGAGGGCTATAGTCACCTTCCTGGGCTCTAACACCTCTCCTTGACTGCAGCCCCCAACCATAACCTCTTTAATCCATCTGGTAAAGGGAGGAGGGATAGGAGAACTTTGGAAGTTTTGAGCTGGAAGAAGACTTAGAAACCAGGTCACTCAGCCCTCTTGATCCTCAGATGAGGGGCTGGAGGGCCATAAGCAGAGAACATGTGCTGAGATCATGCAGTGAGTGAGTCTTAGAACACAGGGACCATTTGGTGTCTGTGGTCACTGTTGGCACCCTCTTGGGGCTCTGGGCTCAAGCCCACTGCACCCCAGGCCCTACAAGGGGACCTAAGTTCCACCCTCCCTTGGTGAGTTATGACCCCTGACCTGCAGCTGTTACTCTCCTGATAAGCAGGGGCCTGAGTCATTGGCAGGAGAGAGCAAATTAATTCTGAGAGCAGCAGGTGCTATAGCATGGAGCTGCAAAGCCTGACATGAAGGCTCAGGGCCCCAGGAGCGAGGTGTTTATGTGTGGATCAAGTGTCTGCACAGTGCTGGGTCAGTCCTGTTCCTCCCCTGCCTCACCCCACCTGTGGACCTGGATGCAAGTTAAGCCCCCTGCCATAGATCTAAAACTCTTTGTACCCACTTCTGGATGGAGGGCCTTGGGCAGGACTCAGTACCTCTGACTGGGGCTATTCTGAGGATTTCTGCCCTACCTCATGGGGTCATTATAGGTTCAAACAGAGCAACTCAAAGTTTGTCAACTACAGAAGAAAATGCCAGACTTTCCTCCAGTTTCACCCCTTACCAGCTGGTGTCTTGGGCAAGTTTCCTAACCTCTTTGAGCCTTAGAGGCTCAGTTATATAGCAGGTGATAGGGTCTTCCAGGGCATTTCAGGAATCAGCAGGAATGAGCACAGAGTGCCCAGCGGGGCACAGAGCTCGGTCTTTGGCAAACAGTGGCTAAACCAATGACAGGTATTGATATTATCATTGTTATCCTTATCCTCTTGTTTCATCCTCTACCTATGAGCTCTGCCCATCCCGCCTGCTTCCCAGCTGACAGTCCACCCTCTACCTTTCCCCTTACTTGTGGTGTTGTAGCGGACGCCGTAGAAAAAGGCAGGGCAGGGTCGAACCACCAACTGTCCTGCAGGACTCCGGGGCCAGCAGGTGCCGATGAGGTCCACCGAGGCATTGCACTGCAGTCCTGGGGCAGAGATGACTGGTGAGGCAGAACAAGGTCCCACTCCAAGCCCCAGGCAGGCAAAGAACCCTTGAGACTCCTTCCCACCTCCCCGCTGGCTCACACTCACACACCTACTAAGGAAGGGCAAAAGCAATGGTCCCCTTGACAAACCAAGTTCATTCTATGCAAAGGAGACACCAGGGGGAGCAATCTGAATACCATGCTCGCCACGAGGGAATCAATGTGGGTTACAGAGCAGAGGAACAGAGGTGCTGAAGGAGGTGATGAAAGCTACTCGCTGGCAGTTGGAAAAAGGCTGGGCATGCTCCAGGTCCCCTGCTTTGTTTTCTGAGGACACTACTTTTATGGCTTCCCTTGGCAACAGACTGGAGCCCCAAAACTTCACAGGAACAGCCTGGGACAAGCTGAAACAACCCTTGACCCAGATCCCTCACACGTCTCTGGAACTAAGCCAATCTGCCCTGGCCCCACAGGGCAGAACCTGCTGCCCTGCACCACACTTACTGAGCATACACTGCTCCTGCCTGTGCTGGCACTTGGGAGAGGATGGGATCAGAAGGGGACCATGGGGAGAAAAGTCACCTTCTGAGGGAGTAGAAAGGCTACTGAGCAGTGGGAGCTTCTGCTGCTGATTTGTTGTGTGACCATACATGAGCCATTTGCCCTCTCTGGGCTTTGATGTCTTCATCTATAATAAAGCAAAGTAGTTGGCCTAGATCAGACTTTTTGTGTTTTCAGTGCTGGGCTGGGGATCAAACTCAAGGCCTTACACATGCTAAGCCAGCACTCCACCACTGAGCAATACTTTCAGCCCATGATCAGAAATTCTCAGTCCACTGAAAGCTTCATAGTGACCTGGGATCTAGTGAAAAATGTGGTGTATGGATGCGGTTTCCAGTGGTGAAAGGGTCCCATGGCTTTTGTTACATTCTAAAAGAGATTTTTGATTCTAAAGAGACGTAAATAGCTGAACTAGAAAGAGGATGTATGGCCCCTTCAAATATTAATATTTTCTCTTATATAAAGAGCTTTTTGGAGGGAGAGGGAGAGGAAAGAGGGGGAGAGAAATGGGGGGAAGAGAGAGAGAGACAGAGAGAGAGAGAGAGACAGACAGAGACAGAGAGAGAGACAGAGACAGAGAGAGAGACAGAGACAGATTTCAAGAGGGCAGTAGGAAAATGGTTTCCAAGTGTAGGGGCCAAGCACCCACACACACCATCCTGGCACCCTCCTCTTTCTCTGCCTTCTGATGCTCTCTTTGGCATAAAGCTGGTACACCAGTCCTGTCAGCAAGGCCCAGTGTCCTCCTGGCAGAAGGGGTCAGTAACCTGGAATTGGCACAAGAACTTATAGATAAGCCAGGCAGAGCCAGGACCAGTGGGGGTGGGAGTGGCCTCCCCAGGGCTGAGTGTTAGCAGCTGTCATCTTCTCTCCAAATTAGCCTGTTTCCAGTCTCTCAGAAAACAGCAGGGCATTAAACTGCCTTCCTCTCCTTGCTGGACTCAGGGCAGTGCCCAGCAATATAGGTTCCAAATGCTGGCTTTTCCTCCTGATCAAAGCTATTTACGGGTGTTTGTGCAAATCAGGGTGCAAAAGGCAGAGACTTTAAGACTTTAAGGCTTAATCAGAAGAGAAGGAAATCTGGGGCCAGAGATTTAGCTCAGTTGTTCTGCCGCCTGCCTTGCAAGAGAAAGGTCCTGAGTTCGATCCCTGGTACAAAAAAAAAAAAAAGAGAGAAGGAAATCTGGACTGGGAGGGCAGGTGTGGGACACAGTGAGCCTCCTGCGGTAGCATTACAGAGAAGTATGGGAAATAGGGGAGTGAGGCAGGCAGGCCAGGCATGGGACAGGGAAGCCAGGTTGGGATTTGACTTCATCATGGGTCGTGCTGACAGTGCTGAGCTTGAGGAGGGGGAGCTAGAGGCACATGGCTCTGTGTGTAGGGGGTAATAAATATGGTGACTACATTCTGCTTTTTCAAAGCCCTTCTTTACCTACTTGGCTGGATCCCCATTCACCCTGAAATGTCAATATTTCCTTTTTACAGATGAGGAAATTGAGGCCCAAGTATGTTAAGTGATTTGCCCAGGGTCACAGTTCAAAGTGTAAAAGAACTGGGACTCACACCCAGATGTTGCTGGCTCCAACTCAAGTGCTCTTTCTAACATACCACATTGTGTGGCAATAAAGGATGAGGGAAGACAAGGAGGCAGCAGTATTTACTGCGGGCTAGCTGTGTGCCAGGCTCCTGCCAGATGCATGACATAGTCCATCTCACTCAAGGACGCCATCTTGCTCCTAGCTGCCTCTCTCACAGTATCTACTGAGCCAGACACTGGGTAGTTATATGGGGTGTCATGTGTGGCACTGTCTGGACCTTGCCTAACACATCCCTCTCAGTCAGAATAGCATCTGCTCTCCCTTCCTTCCCTGGACCGTCCCCAGGCCCCCTTCTGCAAAGAACAGGGCAGGGAAGGACAGCAGGTACCAATCCAGAGAGCCAAGGCAGGTGCCACCCAAGGAACAGACACTAGGCTTGGCCAGAGCTACCGCTCTCAGGACCCTCATTAGAGCCCTGAACCCGTCCGAAGCTGGTCCTGGGAAATGGGGGTCCACATGGCAGTGGGTGGGGCAGAATGATCTGTACTCCTAGTCTGTGGTATGGATTCAGCCACAACTAGCAGAAAGCCTACACTACTTGCCAATGTGGGTGCTAATTCCCCCTATTTGACAGGTAAGGAAATTGGGGCCTGGACAGACAGATGGCTTGACTTTAGAAACTTGGTATCCAGTGGCAGAAGTGTATTTGAGCCCTGGTCTTTGATGCTCACCTATGCTCTTCCCACTGCCACACTGCTGTCCCCATCCTGGGCAACAGTCCATGACAGCTGTCGGCTACACTCATCTCTGCGACCCTAGAGCTCCTCTCCTGCTCTCCATCGCCACCCCAATCCCCTGCAGCTCACAGAAGGCTGGCAGAGGAGGCACCTGGGAACACAGCCCCTGATTCGACCTTTACATTTAAAGTCCAGGAAAATCCTGAAGGGAATGCAAGTCTGTGTGAAAGACGGAAAGAAAGGGAAGAAAGACTGCAAACGCGGACAATTAATTGCCAAATGAAAGGGGCCAGGCCGCAAAGATGCTTGTTCCTCCAGAGTAAGACCAGCGCTCCCCTTGCCGGCTGGGACTGGGTGGGCGGGGTCTGCGTTAGGGTTGAAATCAGATGGGATGTGGCCAGAGGTTCGAGGGCCAATCAGGAGGGGCAGCTGGTAGCAGAAATAGTCGCCAAAGGTGCGCTAAGTCGGTGGGTCAGCCTTGTGGTTTTAGGCTGCAGGCCAGGAGGGACAGGTAGCAGGAAAAGAGAGGAGTAAGGGAATGGCAGAATTCTGGAGGAAGGGGAACCTGGAAGTGGAGGGCAGTGAGGAGGTGCTGCCCACTTGGGCTTCAGCTCTGCTCAGCGCCCTGGGGACCCTGCTTCCGGGAAGGAGGAGAGTGTATGTGTGTGTGGGGGGGGTCCCTGGGGAGGCGACAGAGACCTGGCTTCCCACGGGGACCGATTACAGGACTTGGGAGCAGCCTGTGCCAAACACCACTACTGACCTGGCACTACGAAGAGCCTTTTGCGTTGAGAAATTTATACCATTCACTCAATCCATACAGGTCTTTGAGGAGAAGAGAGTTGGGGAGGGAGGGAGCCAGGTGGGCAAAGAGAGAGTGGAGAGAGAAAAGAGAGACAAAAGGACAATAAAGATTTAAGACAGGGAGAAGCCAGGAGAAGGAGACACGGAGAAAGATGGTTTCAGATGGGTGTGAATCTTCCAGCCGAGAAAGGGAGAAGGCAGCAAGGAGGTCTATGTCGCAGCCTGGTGGTCCTAAGGACCTCAAGGTCAGGGCTGCTGGAGTCTGCTTCTTGGGCCAACACCCGCTCCAGGCCCCACTGTTACAAGCTCCTACCCTCTTCTGCTCTCCTGGGGGCGGTATTTCCCGACGTGGATATCGTAGTTCTGAAGTGATGAGCAGTTTGAACCAAAGAAGGCACCCTTGCAGCTAACAAGGGACCTCAGCAGTCCCGCCGCACCAGGGTGAGCTGCACTGGGAGCCAACTCCAACTACAGCTCCGGGCCCCTCAGCGCCCCTCCTGGTCAGTTAAGGTATGGAAGGGAGGAGTTTACTCCTTTCAACTGCCCTTTACTTTGCGAGTGCTTACCGCCTAAGAAACGATAGGGGCTGAGATACAGTAATAAATAAAATAAACGTTCTGCTCTCCTGGTGCTTCCATTCTAGTGTAGGAGACAGTAAGAAAACAAACACACATATGGGTTAACTAGTAAGAAATACTATGAAGGGGCCTGGATTTAGCTCAGTGGTGCCATCGCCTGCCCCACAAGTGCGAGGACCCAAGTTTGATCCCCAGTACCAAAAAAAAAAAAAAAAAAGAAATACTATGGAGAAAAACTAAGCAATGTAAGGAGACAAAAATCAACTGGAGTGCTATTTTAATTTGGTGTTTCTCTAAAACCCCAACATTTAATTAGAGACCGGGGATGGACAGAGTGGCAGAGGGCAGGCAGAAAGCTCTGGCCTTTACTGGGCACCTTGTGGTTGGTTAGAGAAGAAAGGTGCTTTGTGGGGTGTGAGGGTCGGGCTAAGTGGACCCTCTCGTCCTGTGGTTTGTGCACTCCTCTTCACTTTTGCATTCCCGACACCTAGTATAACGCCAAGCACATAGCAAGTACTGAGGAAAATTTCGGGCCATGTCCAATTCCAATATGGGTATGAGAAACTACAGGAGGGACGCTGTGCTCCCAGATGGCCCCGGAAGTCCATCAATGTCTTGGTAATCACATAATGTGATGCTAGGGGTGAGTCCAAAGTCAGGCTCAAATCCTGGGCCTGGGCCCCATGTAACTGTGTATACTTTGCAAGTTATTTAACTTCTCTGACTTCAGATTCCTATTTTGTAAAATCAGGATAAAAATTCTTCCTGACTATATTGATATGATGACTGAATGAGATTAAGCACTTAGAATGGTGTCTAACACAGAGTGGGAAGTAAATAAATGTTAAATATTATAACCATTCATTACCTTAAGACCAGATATGGGATCTAATGACTCTAGGTCCTTGTTGACTCTGAGTCCACTTGTGTGCACACGATGCTACTAGTCAATAATGTTATTAGTGTCTGGCGTTGTCATACTTGTGCCATGATTTTGAGTCCAAAAGTCCGTGATCTGCCACATGATGGGGCCTCAACCCTAGGGACACAGCCTCTCTCTTCTCCTGGCATGAGGCATGTGAAGAGTGCCCCAAAGGCCCCGGTTCCCTGCTGGCTGCCCTGGCCCGAGGCCCATCCATCTGTCCCAGCCCACCAGCCCCCCCCCACTATCTATCTCCGCCATTGCCCATAGGTCTGGGTAGGTCTCAGAAGACAAACGGCCCATGATTAGAGGCTGCTGTGCAGGGTTACAGATTGTGTGCCATGAAGCCAAGTGGGCTGGACTTGGGGTAGGAGCACCTAGTACAAATCACTGGGGAATGAGTGCCATTCATCAGGGCCTGCTGCCTCCACAGGCAGGTGATACCTGAAGGGGACAGGGATGTCACTTTTCTTGAATACAACAAGCAAGTTAATAGAGCCCGACCTGTCCCAGGCATGGGGATCTGAGGGTGGGGCCTTCCCTCTGGCCTCCTTCCCATCTCTCTCTTCCAGAACTCCAGACTGGCTGAGAAGGTACTTCCCACTCCCCACAGCTCAGTTCAGCCAGCCTTGCAGCATCCCCCTTCTTTGGTCCTTCCAAAAAACCCACCTACTGATCCTTGGTTGACCCTTCCTTTTGTTTATTTGTTTTTGTGCTTTTGAGGACGGAACCCAGGGCCTATGGCACTGAGCTACATCCCCAGTGCACCCCCTTTTAAAATTTTGAGATGGGGTCCCACTAAGTTGCTAAGTTGCCCAGACTGGGCTCAAACTTGGAATCCTCCTACTTCAACCTTCCAAAGGGATGGGACTACTCTTGCTTTGGGTTAGAATACTGGATCTTCTTTTCCAGTCCTCATAGTCTCTTTTAAGACTCATCATGAAACCTCCTCCTTCAGGAAGCTCTCTTAGATTTGCAACACTCCTATTCCACCTGCCTGCTACCTCCATTGTTATGAGCAGTTTGTGGCTAGTACCCTCCCTTCTTTCCAGCTAAAAAGGAAGCATTTGAAAAGCTTGCCTACCATGATTATACCCAGTTGTACCTGGCACTCTGCAGTTTGTGGGAAAGAGAGCCATAGAACTCAGTGATTTAAGCTGTGACAGACCCTTGAGGCAAGTACCACCTCCCCCCTTTACAGCTGGGCACACTGAGGCTCAAAGGGCATGTTCATCCCTGTGACTACCAGTTCCCTGCTGCTCCTAGCCAGATACCACGGAGTACCCACTATGAGCCAGCACAGGAAACCAGCCTGCTTTGTCCACGTCCAGTGCTCACTCCTCTCCCTGAGGCCCTGCTGGTGAAGGAGCCACAGGCCAGGTAGCAGCAGCTCTGAGTTGCTGAAGCCTCCTCTCCCTGCAGGCCCAGCTTCCAAAATTAATGCCTCATGCCTCCCTGCTAACACCCTTGAGTCGGTTTCTCTGCTAGCATGTGGCTGGCACTCTGCCTGCTAGTTCATTCATTTGTGGACTTGGGTCCGACTGTGAGTCTCTCTTTGTTCCCCTAATTCCTTGCACCAGGCCTCATGCATAGTGGTACTCAAATAACAAGCAAAGGAAAATATTGAAGAGAATAAATCATCCCAAGAAACCAAGCTTCCCAAGGCCCTCAGGTGCAATGGGACCCTGTGCATTTTGCCAGGCAGCAGCTATCCCCAGACCCAAAGCATGGCCTTGGGAGTCCAGAGACCTAGACTGGGTCCCTGCCACTGCTACATACTGTCCATGTGGTCTTTGGAGTGTTACGTAACTCTCCTATGCCTCAGTTCCCCCATCTGGATGAATGTCATTTTCAACTCTTATGAAGATAAAATAATTATACAACCCGCATGGCACAAGGTGAAGTTGTAGGTATGGGTAACAGTTATCTTCATACAGTATTTCTGTTGGAGAGGTGTTGAGCATGGTGTTTCAGAGAAGCCTGTGCTCAACTCAGGTGCTGGAACTTTCTAGTGCCTTTCTGTGCCTCAGTTTCCTTACATGTCAAATGAAGATTAACAGTACCCACCTCAGAAAGTCACTGTGCAAATTGGGTTCCTATACCCCAAAGTCCTTGCCTGGCACTTGGTCAGTGCCACACAGCATTCAACTCTGTGCACTTTCAGCAGCAGCAAAAGGCAGCCTGATGTCCCTGTATCACAACTCAGCAGCAGGGATGGGAATACCCTCCCCTGTGGCCCATCTTAAGCAGGGACAATGCCTTGTGGGCACACTTGCCATGTGTATCTCCTGTGCCCATGACAGATGTTGCCAGCTAGTCACAGTTCTCTTTCCCACCAAACTCATACCCACATTCAGGCTCCTTCTCAGCACAGTACTTTGTGGCAAAATGACAAATTTCTTGGAGTCCTGGCAAGGAATTCTCTGCTATCCCTGCCATAGGTTATGGTTCTGTTTCCAGACCCTGGGAGACCAGGAGGAGGGGACGCTTTGGTGACCTGGGATCTTTCAGAAGAGGATGGGGGACTCACCAGAGATGTTGCTGGCCAGGGAAAGGCTCTCACAATGCTGAGTCTGGCTGGAGGTGGAGACAGGGTTCAGTCCCAAGAGGAGAATGGCCTGTGGACACAGGGAGGGGAGGGACATGGTTAGGCCGAGGCTCTGAGTAGTCTGGCCTGCTACTTCGTGCCCCAGCTCTCTTCCCAGTCCCTCTGTGTTCAGTCTCTTCCTAGTCTCCCTGTCCTCCTTTTTCTATGTCCTCTGGCCCTGGAGTTTCTGGAGCTGCCCTGCTCACCAAGAGCCTGGAACAAGGCTGGTAAGAGAAGCAGCCCCCACAACTAGGGCAGAGTACTTTTATTTCTGGTGGCGAAGGTCCTCCAGTGAGGCTCTGCCAGAGGAAGCCATTTCCAACACATGAACACCAATCGTGGCCTACCAGTATCTTGCCTTTCTCCCCCCCCCCCCCCCCCGTCCACCCAGGGCTCACAGACCCTCATTAGTGTACCTCCCTCCCTCTGAGGGAGGCTGAGGTTAACCCTGGGCTCTGGTTAATGAGCTGCTTCCTGGGCCCTCATCCCCACCTGACTTATTATTACAAATTAAGTCTCAGTATATGTCAACCCCTTTCACCTACCTAAGGCCAGTGCAGCAGATGAGGAAACTTAAGCATAGAGAAGTAAAAGGAGGAATGTGTCTGGAAGCATGGTTACCCTATTCCAGGGAGAACTTTCACCCTTTGGCCTCCTGGGGGTTTCATGTCACTGATTCCAGAATTTCAGCTCAGTTGGGAAGAGGGTGGCACAGGCTCCCTAACTAGAGGTCAGCCCCTTTTGAACTAACACCTCCACACAATCACTGCATCCCTCCCCTTGAGGTCACCGCCCTTCCGTATGGATTTAGAGTCTAGACTCTAGGTAGAGCTAGCATGTAGCTGTGGTTTCACTCTACAGCCAGAGGCAGATTCCTTGACCTCTCTGTGCCTCAATGTTCTCATCTGTAGAAACAAGTGTAATCTTCCTCCTGCAAAATTCAGGCCTTTTTATGGACCAATTGCAAAATTCACTACAGAACTAAGTCCAAGATGCTGAGCTCCAAAAGCCACTGGGAAAATGAGTTCAGGAGAGAGGTAAGTCCAAGTCCTGTGGCGAGCTGTTAGTCTATCTAGAGTCAGGTGGCATGCGCCCTTCACTTGTGACTCCACCTGGACACAAATGCTCCGTAACAGGGCCATATTGGGGCTTGGAGCAAAAGGAAAAAAAATCAGTAATAATATTACTATATAATAATAGTATTACTATATTGAGATTACTGAGATTTTTGGCCCCCTCTTTACTTCTTGTGCTTGAGGAAAATGCCTATCCATGTTACCCTAGTCTGGGCCCTGCCCACAACCCTCCTCCTAGGCTCGTCTCCAACTCATCCATCATGGGGAGCCCATGGCTGTCCCTGCCCCTCCTCCTGGCCCCCTCCCTGCTTATCCTCTATGGACCTCAGCGTCTTTTCCCATCCTTAGAACCCAACTGCTATCTTTTCCAGAGCCAGCCTTCTGTGCACACCTGCCAGGACCACCCTCTCCTGCCCCTCCCTTCAGCCTGCCCCCACTGGCACCAAGTCCTTCCCCCTCAGGACCCCATGATGAAGCAGGTTCTGCTGCCTTTTCTCGCTCCCTATACTTCCAAGTGGAATGGAGCAGTCTCACTCCTGGGCAGAGCCTGGTCCCCTACCTCCTGAAGAAGGCCCCCCGGGGCTCACAGGATCACACTGTTCCCTGAGTGGCTGCCTGAGTCCTCAGCAGGCTTTGCTCACTCTGCTCTCTCACTGGCACACTCCTCTGGCCTGGCTGCTTTTCACAGGACCAATCTCTAGGCTCCCAAGTGGCGCCTAGCCCCATACCCCCATCCTACGCTCAGCACACAAAGCAGTCCCCAAATCACCCTGGGGTCAGCTAACCTGATTGTGGGCCTCAACAGTGATTAGCACAAACTCATTCATCTCTCTGGCCCTGAGAAACTTCCAACACTCTATTAATCAGTAATTAAACTCCAGTCTCCAGAGAGGTGAAGAAGCATTTTTACCCTCATTTTTCATTGCAAACACAGAAGTAGAGAGAGGAGGAAGCCACCAGGCCAGCTAGTGGGACCTGCCAGCTAAGCAGAGAGCAGCATCCTTGTGACAAAGCTGTATTTCTCATTTAGCAGTCAGGGAGACCCAGGCTCTGCTCTGTCCCCAGAGATGAGCAGCCTGGCTGTTATGACCAGAGGCCCCTTCTAGAAGGGGACTGTATCCTGCCTTCAGCTTCTCTCCCTCCCCCGTCCCTCTTCACCTCCCAACGCACACACACACACACAAACACGTGTGCACACACGCACACACACATACACCCACTCACGTGCGAGCGCACAAATGCACAGAATCAGACTCAGCTCAGCCACATGCAAATTAAAGAAACTGGAAACACCCTCTTGGAAAATAGCAGCCCTTCTGCCTGACATTCCACCATTATTCATCTATCTTTAAACCTCTATTCGTGCTTCTCTCTTCCGGCTCCCCCTTGAAGGCATATCATGTTCTGGTCCCATCTAATAACTCAGTACACTGGCCCTCCTGTGTTTGTATACCCTCACCTGTGTAGCTTTTTGCCCGCGCCCTGCTCCCTACTAACCCTAGACCTGGTGAACTCTGCATTTTTCAGAAACCAGGTCCAGAGCCTCTCCCCAATCTTCCAAAGTGAAGCTACTCAGTTTCCTCTTCAATTTGTCCCTAATCCCCAAAGTGCCCTGTACATGCACTGGCCCCTGTGCTCAGGAGTCACGTTTGGAGACTGGAATAGTCCCAGTTCAAGCACCCACAACCCATGGCTCTAATTAGATGGCACATATATAGGCCAGAAATTCTGTTCTCACATCTTAAAGTCCTTGGGTTCACAGAAGAGCAAAGCCAATCTAGATTCCTCATAAAACCAAATGCCACAGGGTGAAGGGCTCATCTGTCCCTGGATGCCTATACCCAAAAGCTTACGTCTTCTTCTCAGATATGCTGGTTCACCAGAGCCATTTTCTATCCACAGAGGACCTGTGTTGCATTATGCAAAGGAAAATGCTTTTTAAAATTCTCAAACCAACCTTTTCTCCCTGGAAAGGTTGGCTATAGCAGAATCTTTGCCTGTGCCCCCCTCTTGCTCTTAAGAAGGTTTGTAAAGGCTTCTGGTTATACTTGAATCACACTTCCAGAAAAGTCCAGAGTTTCCCTGTATGTTTCTTCCTATTGTCTGCTGATCTCCTCTTTGGCATTCACTACACTGCACTGTGTGGCAGAAAGCAAACAGGGAAGGCCCCAAGTTCCGCATTTGCAGCTGGGCTAGTTGAGGTTCCCAGGGTCAAAGAGCAGCTGAGTGGAGACTGGGTCGGTGTCGGCCCTTGGAGTAGATGGATGAAGTGGGGTGAGGTGGTGCCTCTAGCCTGGCCAGGTTTCTGGCAGGGCAAAGCACAGACAGAAGGAATTCACAGAGGAGAGGGGAACTGCAAGGAACCTGTAGATGGGTGAACGGGAGAGCTGGAGCTTGACAACTGCTGCCCTCCTCCTGCCTCCAGGCCAGCACAGAATCGAAGCTGCCATCCCAGTTCCCAGTGTGACTCTGGCATAAAGGTTAATCACACCCAGAAAATGCTTATTAGAGACCATAAATAACCACGCTGCTGAAGCTCAGTTTGGTCTTTAAGGTACAAAAGGGCAATTTCTTTTGGTGGGATGATACAGCGATTGACCTTTTGCAGAAGGATCGAAAGGGCCTAAAGGGCTGCCCCTACCTCCCAAAAGTTCCTAAGGAACAAGGAGAGGGACCACCTTCCTTCCTCTTTCCCAAATACCTCCCATGCTCAGCTGGGGAGAACCCGGAACTCTCGGGCCAGGACTGAGCTGATCTGACAGCCACAGGCGCAGTCCTAGAATGGTCCTCAAAAATCCTTTTCCTCCTGCTGAGTTCTGAGCCCAGTCCCGCCACAGACTGCCCGACTTTGGGTTAGCCACCTGGCCCTTGGGGTGCCACCTCCTCTCCTGTGAAGCAGAGACAATGAAGGCTTTCTTCCGCACCTCACAGGGATGTGGACCTCCTGGGGGAAGGAGGAAACTTAACTCCCCTGCAAGTGTCAGCATGGCCATTATCACCACTTGGCCCTTGGGGCTGCAGAATCCTCCACAGTTCAGGCCCTACTCCTTCTGCACAGGCCCACTCCATCATCTGCTCTGCCTTCCCTGTGAGTTGCCTTTGTGCAGGAGCTTTTCAGAATAAAAGAAAGGTTCATTTTTGTTTTTAAAACCCCCAGATTTAGTGAATTCTCTAGGCCCCTTGCTGTATGAGGATTCTACATTCCAGGAGTCGAGGGCTGTTGAATGTGGTGGCACATGCCTGTAATCCCAATACTCTCAGAGACTGAGGCAGAAGGATCAAAAGTTTGAGCATCCTGGGCAATTTAGCAACTTAATGAGATGGTCTCAAAAACAAACAAACTAATAAAGGCTGGAGATATAGCTCAGTTGGAAGGTGCTATGTTCAATACTAGTACTGCAAAAACAACAACAATAACAAAGAGTCTGGGGCTATGTATGTCATTGGACAAAAAAAAAAAAAAGAAAGGAATTCAGAGAAGGATGAGGACAACATACACAGACACACAAACACATGACACACAAATTCACACACAAAGAGGATAATAGCAGGAAAAGGTGAACAAAACCAAGTGCAGGGTGCCCGTGGAGTTTCAGATGGGGTCTTCAGTATGTGTCCACAGGCTGGGCTTTCAGACGGAAGTGAGCCAGAGGATGGGCAGCATAGATGTGGACCGCTAGGAGGAGAGAGAAAGCCTCTCAGTCAAGGGAGTGGGGGATCCTGTGTGTGTGAGTGGGGCTGGCCACAGTATACGTGGGGTGGGGGGCCATCTCAGACACCAGGCTGAGATGGGGCCAGAGGTCTGGGGTGCCCAGGTGGTCTCCTGAACAGCACAGTGTCAGAGCCTGTCAACCCCATCATCTGCAGGTGTGAAAACTGAGGCCTGGAAGGGAAGCTTGAGTCCCTGCTCTGTGAGACAGCTCTGCAGGTCAATGATAAAGCTGGGCCTTGTTACATTTCATGGCCTAGGAGACCATGGGTGCCCTGACTTGGGGCCAAGAGAGGCCCCTGACTCTCCAGTGTGACCAAAGTCCCCTGGTCCTCCCTAGTGATGCCCCCTCCACCTGCAAAGCTTCCCCGGCTCACACTGCCCCCTGCTGGCTGAGGTCTGTCTGGGTTCCCCAGCTCCTCTATCCCTTCTGACTGCTTTGCTCTGCACTGCAATCAGGAGGCGCCTGTCTGCAACAAAGCCAAGAGAAGCAAATCTAGGTGGGAAAGACAGAAGGGGTCATAAATCACAATTTATTTACAAGCTGACTCCTGTTGCATTTAAAACTAGGATCTAGTTTGCAGAAATAAAATAAATGTGCAACAATTCTTTAAAAACTGTCTACACCTCGGTAGTCATGGTGCTACTGGGGACAGGGAGGGCAGTTTTACGACCTCAGCACAGGAAGGGGTGCCAGGCAGAGGGGTCAATCAGGGTTAGGATTGCAAGCAGTGCCCAGCACAGCTGAGGCCGTCAGAGAGCACTTCTATCTTTTGTTGTTGTTGTTGTTGTTATTTTTTGAGACAGGGTCTCACTTTGTAGTTCAGCCTGGCCCTAAACTCACTATGTAGCTCAGACTGGCCTCAAATTCTTGGTGATCCTCCTGCCTCAGCCTCCCAAGTGCTAGGATTATAGGCGCGCACCACCACACCCCACTTACCTCTGTCTTTTTTGATCCACACAGAAGTCCCCTAAAGACTAGCCAGGGTAGAAGTAGACCAGGGCCAGAGGGCAGTGATGCCACCCACGTGTCTCTTCTCAGGCCTCCTGACTGTGTAAGACTTTTGCCCCCACAGCAGCCCCTTCTTTCTATCCTGACCAAGATCCAGCCATCCCCTCACAGCCTCCTTGGTGACAGCCACGACCTGTTCCCACCCCAAGTCAGACAGCCTTGCTTCCTCCAAAAGTGGGTGAGTGGTGAAAGATTATTCCAGGCAGACAAGAAATAACTTATTGTTGCATTTAATTAACTTAAATTGCTGTTGTACAGAGAAGAAAAAATGGAACGGAAGATCGGCCTACAGTTAAGGGAGAGGCACACCTTGGGCGTTCCCCACCTCTAGGCTTTTTCTTGGGCTCCTGGGCTCAGGGTGCTCCCTGCCCTCACCTCTGCTCCCAGACAAGGCAGCCTCACAGCAGGGCTGGACCTGTGGTTATCTGCTTCACACATTCCTGGCTCTGGAGTTGACATTTGCCCTTTAAGGACCCTAATTCAAGCCCATTTGGGTTATAAGCTCCTGAGAACAGGTCTGTGCTTGGCTATTTTTGTACCCTCAGAGAGGCCTGACACAGGCCACAGTACACGTGGGTAAATGAATAAATAAGTGAATGAATGAATGAATGAATGAAAAGACGAGTTTGCATCTCTTTTACACCTTGGACCATGGGACACAGTAATGATTCCTACCAGGCCATTTTGACGCTCACTTCTTTTCCTCATTTCCTCCTGCCCCAGGGCATGCTCCTCCTCCTGGTCTTGGCTTCCTGCCTGACCATCTTGGTCTCCTGATGGTGTACTGAAGGAAAGAGTGCTTTGGGGTAGGGAGGCCAGGGCTAGGATCCTGTTCTGACTCTGACAAACTTGCTGGGGCCCTTTGACAAGTCATTCCCCTGCCCCCTCCCCAATTCAGTTTTCTCAAATAGGAAATGAGAAAGGCATTGTGTTCCCAGGGTTCTTTTCCAAGTCTGAACATGGTCTGGCTCCAGGAATCACAGGAGAGCAGAAATTCAGACACCTACCTTTCGGGCCAGAGAAGTGCATGCTGGAATCTCTTATCTGCACCTTCCTACCTGTGTGACCTTGGGCAAATCACTTAAATTCACATCTGTAAATGGGGCTAATACCAACAAAACAGCTGCACTCCAAAGCTCTTATACACATAGTGCACAATCAAAAAGCATGGGGTCAAATGCACAGTGAGCACAAACAGTAGCCAGCTGTTACTTGGATCTGTGAAAATTGTTTCTTCCCTCCTCCCCAACTGTCTTTCTGTGCTCCCTGGCTTGTCCCCTGTTCATCTATTCTCCATCACCAGTCTGTTTCCAAGAAGTGGTGGCCACTTGCAAAAGTGGCATGTGCACTGCTATCATGAGGTAGATTTAATGGCATGGAGGTGGGGGGCCCTGGAGCACTGCTCACCTCCCATCCCATCTCACCTCCTCCTCTGACTCTCATGTATTCATTCTCTACCTGCTTGCTATGATCTGAATTTAGACACTCACCACTGCCTCTCCCCTACCACCTGCCTTCACCTGTCTCCATTTTTACCTCCCTTCTTCTCTTAGTCTTCCCTTTGCCCCTCCTTCTCTACTTCCTTTGCTCCCTGCCTTTCTTCCCTTCTCTCTCTCTCTCCTTCCCTCCCTCCTTCCATTCCTTCTTTCTCCTTTTACTGAAAGGTTGCTCAATAACAAACTGAATTTTCTCATTCAATTCTCTTGACTTCCCCCAAAGTTGTAGCCTTTGCTATCTACATCTGTACGGGTGACAAGCTGATGCATATAGATATGGTAACTTGTCCGCAGTTGTTACCATGGTGACTGGAGGAAAAGGGCAGGAGCCAGGTTCCTACCCCTGGCTCTTTTTTCTCCTCTTCTGCTCCACCCTCTTCTTCACAAGCTTGGATCCTTCAAAAGTCAGATGGGTCTGAGTTACATGTGCCTCTTGACCTCTAGCTCCTGGCTGCAGCCTGGCTCCCTGAGAGTGGATGGTGAATTGGGAGGTGGACACTGTAGCACCAGTCAGCTGGGTGGACTCAGAAGGGCTAAGTTTGTTTCTCACAGAGGCTGGGAGCCTGACCCAGGCTCCGATCCCATCCCTGGGTGCCACACAGCTCTGAGCTGTGAATGGCTCCCAGACACCTGGAAGCCTCCCTGAGGGGTCAGGCAACGGAGCTGAGGTGTCAGGACAACCTTAGAGACACCAGCCACATAGGTGACACCATCAGTTGGGCTCTCAGCACAGCTGCTGGCACTAATTGGGGGAGGCTGTTTGGGTGCAGCAGTAGAAGGGTGTCCTTGCAGGACCAGCATTCAAAGGGGTTTGAAGAGAGCCTGGAGGGAAGAGGAAATCATCAGAGGCTGGAAAGCAGGCTCTGTCTGACAGAAAAGGCTTAAGAGTTTGCAGCTGCTTTCCCTGGAAAGCCCTTGCCTCTCCAGGCCAGGAGGGGGTGGAAAAAGGGCCTCTGGACCAAAGCCCACTAAGTACAGAGATTTAGGGCAGAAGTTAGAAATAACCACTTCATCCTCTGCTTCTTTGCCTGTAAAAGTGAATTAGACAAATCTAGACCATGCTTGGCATCTGAACTAGAAGAAAAAAAAATCCCATTTCTCAGGCTCCATCCTAAAGACGTAGGTTCAGTAGGCCCATGGAAAGCTCAGGAGTCCTTCTATTTTTAACACTCATCAGAATTGAGGATAAACTGAACTGGTCTTCAGCTGGGGAGTGGTCTTCAGCCAGTGGTCTTCAACTGGGAAGCCATTCTGCACCCCAGGGAACATTGAGTTCAAATGACTGGAGACGTTCTTGGTGGCTACTACTGATAGACAGCTATGGGCATTCAGTGGGTAGAGGTCTGGGATGCTGCCCAGCACCCTACAATGCACAGGACAGCCTGTGAATGTCAATGGTGCTGGCCTTGGGAAACTCTGGGCTGGAAAGTCTCACCTTGCTGAAGGCACTCAGCTTCCTGTCCATCTGGGGTACAGGTGGGAAGTGCAGAAAGAATGAAAGAACAGAGGGAGAAGCCTTCAAGACAGGAAGAGGCCCTGGGTTGCCCTGTGTCTGGCAAATGCTCTGTGTGACCTTGATCAGTCATTTCCCACCTTTGGCTTCAGTCTGAGGGCAGGACTCCTCCTGGCCCACTGGGCAGATTGGAGGCCCTTTCGCTGGTGCTGTCCTGGTCCTGCCTGGTCAGGGTGGGGAGTATGCAGGAGACCAAGCAAAGTCAGAAAGGCTGGCCTGCTGGTATGACCATAGGGAGAGGGGGTGGCAGCCTCTCCCTAGAGTGCCCCAGGGTCGACACCTTGGAGGCAGGAGACAGAGCCTGTCCTGGATGCTGGAGGAGTTGGGCTCCTCTGTCTCGGTGAGCTGAAAGACAAGGGGTAGAACCAGGTTGGGGTTGAGTCATGGGAGCTTTGGGTGAGCTCTCCACAGAGGAAGGGCTTCTCTTGCTTCTCTAGGGCCCTGCAATCCATGTATGTCATTGCCCCTCCCCCTATCTTGATGATAAAGTGAGGACTGATGAATGAGGAGGAGCGGGGAGGGCTGGATCACCACAACCTGCCCTCAGGTTGGGACTCTGAGTAAACCAAAGGGTATTCTCCTTCCTAGCCTTCAGTTTTTCCTACATCCACCAGCCCAGATTTGATGGCTAGGAAGAGCTGCAGCATCGCTCAGGTCTCTGAAATGGAGATACACGGGGCAAAGGGCACGGCAGGAGAGACAGATGCATACAGAGTGACCCAGGGACTCCAGGCCAGGAAGTTTGGCCCCACAGGAGGCTTTAGATGAGCGCTATTCAAGGGGCAGTTGGGATGGTCAGACTGGTTGGTTTGCCCATTAAAACTGTTTGCTATCGGTCCACAAAAATTGAGAGTAAGCATTGGAAACTTCAAGGTGAATTTGTCCTTGCTGTGTCATCCAAGCAAGTTGTCAATAAGCTCATCTTGGACAGGGTCTAAACCGATTCGGAGGTTGTCAGATTCACAAGGTGAATCATGCAGTGCAGCCTGCTCAGGAGGACACAGGCCAGTCTGCCTGGAACTGGAAAAGCCCCACCGTCCTCCCACAGCTGGTTTGAGGAGACTGCATGAGCTGCAGGAGAGAGCACATGCTGGGTCCTCAGGAATGGCTTAGCTCATAGGGACAGGTTAGTGATGGCTAAGCTTAGGGTCCAGGGGAGGAGTGTGGCGGCATTGGGGCTGGGGGAGGGACCCCACCCATGAAAACAGCAGGTCTCCTCCTGGAGCTTCGGTGGGGGCAGGCCCCTCACAACGTAAGCATTCCTTTCTTGATTCTCCATCTTGGTCCAGTAAAGAGACAAAAATGCCCAGAGAGGTTGGGTAACCTGCCAAAGGTCACTCATCAGAAAATGGCAGAGTCAGCTCCAATCCTGTCAGTTTTAAGGACCCCCTCCTTGGGGATGCACGTGAGCCCCACCACTTCTGAGCCCCATGTTTCACAACCTGAAAGCAGCATTCACAGTCAAGCCATGGGTCTAGCCATAGAGAGAAAGGACCCTAAAGGCTGCCCCATTGCTACCCAGAGAGAGCTGGAGAGTTCCAATGTGGATTGAAGAACAAGATACCATGGGAAAGACATGAATGCTGGTGCCCTGGGCCACTTCTGCCTTGCCCAGGTACTCCTGCCCTGCAGTCGGCAAAACCAGGGCAATGAAAAGGAGGGAGACCCAGGCTGCCATCAAGGCCTTACCCCAGTTCCCACCTGGGGACTAAAGCATCCTGCATCTGCTCCCTACAGACCTCAGCTTCTGAGAAGTTTCTTGCCTCTTTGTCTCCTCAGCCTGGATCCTAATCTTGCTCTGGTGATTTCTCCCCAGCCCTCCCCTCATAAAGTACAATGCTGCCGTTCCTGGCATGTGGACCAACATTCCCAGTGCCATGGAGACAAGGAATGGAGTCCCAGGCTGGAGCTGGAATCTCTCAATGGTGCCTACAGCACAGCCTTGCATAAGCCACTGGGTCATCAACCCATGTGCAGAGGAGAGGACCCTGTCTGTCTAGCTTGCCGTTTCTCTCTATGGCCAGACCCATGGCTTGACTGTGAATGCTGGGGAGGCATAAATGAGTATTCTGTTGGTGGAGGAGGCGTTGGTGGAGGAGGAGATCAATGTGGTTCAGGCAGAGGGCAGAGGCATGGAGCACAAGATTCAGGACTGTCTGGTTTTCCACCTCTATAATGGAAGAGAGGGGCTGTTTGGAGTCAACTATTGTGTACCTGAGCGAGAGAAGCTGGTGGCACAAAGGGAATGGATACAAGGAGGGGAGGGAAGGCAGATGTGAGACCAAGCCCAGGACACAGTGACCAGCTCCCTGTGCTGACCAGCCTTGCCCTGGCTGTCTTGGCATATGAAGCAGCAGCCCAGCTTCTAAGGCTCCCAGCGGGGATGTATGTCCAGGGCAGGACTCAGAGGCTCTCCATCCTGCTACCCACTCCCAGTGCTGACCCTATTGCCTGTGGGTGCTCAGCTGCCCCCCAGGCATCAGTCCTCCTGTCCTGATGTCGAGCTTGCAGGTGACCACACCTGTTCATGGGTTTAACTGTGCTGAGGCTGAGAGGAAAGGAAAGGTGGTGACCAGTGGAGAGTAGCCTCCAAGGGTGTGGCAGGCAGGGGACACTTTGACGAACACTGTGCAAGTGGCTCACTCCCCAGTGAGCACACATACTTGTGTGTGTGTGTGTGTGTGTGTGTGTGTGTAAGAGATAGACAAACAGAGGACACCCAGTAGGGAGCAGTTAGACCACATAGGCAGCAGGCTATATTTCTTCTGTACCCCACTGCTGGGGTGGAGGCCCAGCCCTGGGGTGGTGGGGATGGAGTGAGGGATGGGGGACCCTTCCACGCTCTGCATCTGCGGCCTCCACACCACACATGGGGCCTCTGAGCAGCCCTGCTCTTGGAAACTCTTCCGACAGCTGAAGAAGGTTCCAGACAGGGGGAAGGGGGTAGTTGTGAGCAGTGAGGAGAAGACGTTCCCAGGAACTACTCCCCAGCCAGGGCTTTCTCTCTCTGTCAGCTTGAGCTGGTGTCTCCGTCTCTACATCATCTGTAGTTTCCTGCTCACCCTCAGTCTCTCTTCAGGCCTGCATCATCTATAAAAAAACTGTCCTCTCTGAGCAGCCCATAGGCACCAGGCTGGATTGCTGCTTCTGCCAGTGGCACTGGGGCCTTGAGGGCACAGAAACCTGACACTGGGAGACCAGTTCCTTAGAGAACCCTGGACTTTCCCTTAACCCCTGCCCAAGCAACCAAACCCCTGCTGCCAGGGCTTTCTCTTGCAGACTTCACAGCTCAGGTGACATTCCCAGGCCTCACTCCCTCTCCTCTTCTCTGCCTGTCACAAGCTGCCCACCTAGCTATGTCCCCACAGTGGGAGGGGCTGCTCTGGGAATGGCTGGCATCTCTGGGCTCCACTGAGCTATGAAGGGCCTTCTGGAGACCACTGAGACCTCCAAAGACCCTGCTGAGGAGGCTGAGGAAATGAGGAGAAGGAAATGCCTCCCTTGGGTGGCACTGCTGCAGCTTTCTCTCCTCCTAG